TTGCAATTGACTTTGTTTTGAGTGAGTGAGGGCTGTGCAAGGTCACCAGCTTTGCTTTCTCCTCCAGAGCCATCTGGGTTCAGTGGCCAGATATTCATCAGGATGACAAAAGATGGCCCAGGATGCAGTGGGAGATCTTAGTACTAGAGAACTCTAGAGGAGGAACGGTTTATAAAGTGAAGGGGGTTCAATGGTCTCTAAGGTTTTTTCTAGCTCTAAATTTATACCCTTACCTATACTGTTTCTAGTTATGCATAGGCTAGATGCTACACGGATACATGCAAGAGACACAGAGGAAGACTTACACTTACTTCTGTGGAAGATCTTTTGAAAGACATGGACTAATTAACTTCAAATTAACTAAATTAAAAGATAACTACAAAGGACATATGAAGGAAGATGTTATCTGTATCCAGAGAAAGAACTCATAAATAGAAGAATGTATAGAATGATTTTACGTACATATATATATATTTATACACACACATATTTATGTCTAATGGTAGCCATTTCTAGGGCAGGGGTGGAGGAGGGAAGAAAAAAAGGGAAAAAATAAATTTACATGATAACTTTATTATACATGTAAAAGGAATAGTGAGTTGTACATAATAGAGCTGTACTTTCATGTGCAGTTATCCTTTTTATTATACTATGTTATGGAAATGCTTGTTTTATTCCATAAATTAATAATTAAATAAATAAAAAAATTAAAAAGAGATGGACAGAAATCAGACTTGTTAAGAAGGGAGGGAGGGACTATGATCAGTAGAGGTAGCTTGGGGCAATAGAAGAAGCAGTGGATTTCAAGTCAGAAGACCTTAGTTTGAATCCTGGCTCTAGCCTTTTACTTCCACTATGATGTGACCTTAGGCAAGTCACATGACCTCTCCAGGACTCATTTTCCTTCTCTGTGAAACAAAAGATTGCACTAGATGCCCCTGAAAGTTCCTTATGGCCCTAAGGGCTCTATGTCAATGGAGGGAGTATCCTCATACAGATGAAATGACAGATACGCCACAAGAGGTGATGTATCTATCTAATACACAAGAGTTAACACTGAAGGTGACAGTAATTTTTTTTTATTATATTACTGACTAGAACGCCAGACATAGTGGATAGAAGTATAAAAATAACCAATTCTTACAAATCACACTTTTCTGCTACAGTACTGAATTATTAGTGGAGGTTGCAATTATGATACAACATTAAATAACAAATATCCTCAGGAAAGGATTTTAAAATGACAAACCAGGTGCTCAGAGTTCATTGGTCTACAAAGGGGAGGCAGGATGGTGGGGATCAACTCCCCAAAGCACATCTTCTAATTGTTTGCTTGATTTAACTGCAAAAGTAATGAAACAAAAAATCCACGTCAACCCAGAGACTATTATACCATGTTCCTATTAAAGGTACAATCATGGAGGAGAGAAGGTCACATTTGGAGAGGTGGAGATGGGGGGGCAGGGGGTGGACATGAATGACAGGTGTGCATGGAAGGGAGAGAACAAGAACCTAACTAACAGATGTCAAAGCTGTTTTTGGAATCAGATTCCCACAATCCTTTCTCCCCATCCAAGCCATCCCTGGACTCATATCTACACTCCAGATTGAGACACTTAGCCCTGGAGGGATGAATTGTGACTCTGTTGAAAGAAAAGGCTATTTTAATTAAACAAATTCATCAATATATATGACTTTTATGGGTTATTATATCCTATTTCTTTGGGGGATCAGAGAGCAAAAATAAACACACACATTTGCATATCTTATCAGGACACACAAAACCCAAAGTATGGAACATGTATGTTTCTCTCTTTCTTTTTCTCTCTTTCTCCCTTCTTTTCTCTCTTTCTCCACATATGTACTTCACATATATACATATATATTATACATACACACATCTCATCATTGTCTCTTCCTGAAGGAATGGTTTATTAAGATGGAAAGAGAAAGGAAATGTCCTTTTTCCTCCTGAAAACTGTTGTAGTATGGGAAAGGAAGGGAGCTGTCTTTTATAGGGCAAATAAAAGAAGCATTTGGCATTGAAATTCACATTCCTAAGAGCTCAAATCTCAAAATCAACACACATACACATACATATATGCACCCATCACACAAGGAAGAATTGTGCTGTGAAGAGTTGTCATAAAAAGCTAAACATGAGAACAATGGCTGAATCAGGTGGTCCTCAGATGTCCAAGGTCTTGCATATTTGGGAAGGGATAGGACATATTGAGAGGGAAGCTCAGAGAATATATCCACTGTCTGCCTGGAAATCTGAAATGTACTGATCTGCTCCCCAGTAAGACCTAGCCCTAGTACATCAGCTCAACAAAGAGGAAGTATTGCTTGAACGATTGGAATCTGGGCTTCTATTTTGCAGTCTAAGCACTACATTGAGCTGTCCTCACCAAAATTTTAGTTGTCATTTTAATAATTTAATTTTTAATAATTTTAATAAGGAGCCAGTGGTCCTGTTGCTGAGTGGCTGTGTTGGGCTAAGATAAGCCAAGAGCACCTGAACTGTGTAATGTTGACTTCTCCTGGTTTAGCTGTGCCAAGGTTCCAGAGTCCATGTGTACATCTCAGCAGTGGGCACAGTCACATATGGGAAATGCCAAAGTTGTATAACACAGGTTATGATATAAAAAATAAGGCTGATCTTTATTCTTAAGATGGCCAGAGTTCTATGCCCAAATGAGTTGTGTCCCCTTCAAAGTAAGTCACCTTGACAGTGTACATTTATTCTAATGCTATTACCGTTGTTCAAACTCATATTGAACATATTTGGGGACTATTTTCAGAGTCAGCTCATGAGTCACCCCAGAAAACCAATTTTATTACTTCATAGTCACTCTATACTTTTTCACTGATGTTGGTACTACCCAGTTTGAGCACCCATTTTATTCACCAGACTACAATTCACAAGAATTTGGTTGTTTCCCAAAGTTAAACTCACCCTTGAAGTATGAGTATTTGCCACCACTGGGACCAGTCAAAAGAATGTGCCGTAAGCTCCAAGGGCAATTCAGAAAGGAGTTCCTGGCAATAACATCAGAATAAGTTATATATACCCTCTCAAGGCAACTGCTTTGAAGGGGATTCCACTCATTTGATTGTAGAAGTTTGTTTGTTAAAAAACAAAACAGCATAACACTGACAAATAAAGCTATGTGCCAATATGTTCACTGGGTAGGCATGACTTAGGTTCCTGTTTTCATAATGGCCTCAAATGACAAAAAACAAGAAGAAAACCCCCCCAAATTTTAAAACACCTTCTGGAACGTGACTACTTCTTAATTTTTTTATTCCTAAAAATAATCATTTGGTTATTGCTGGAGAGGATGCCAATAACACACTGCAGTTATTAAAAGTATTTGAGATCGCTCTTATTAATTTCTTGGTAACAACTTCCTTTAACTTGAATGCCGTAATTGTGCTCTTTGAAAATGACACCGAGAAGGGAGGCATTCTGCCAAGGAACGTATTTGGCTGCCTTAGTCTCATCTCTTCTGAGTAAACAATGAATAGGGCCCATGAAAATCAGATGGAATGAAGGACGCCATTCCCGGGCAGGCCCAGGGGTCACAGAAAGAAGGCAGGCCTCTTTGCCAGACAAACGCTTCGCTGACCTTTTGGTCAGTTTTACCCTAAAGACTTATGATCCCATTTACTCCAGGTCTTGCCTTACAGATGGATCACATATATAGATTAGGATCCCTTTTGTCCTTTCCTGTGACTGTTGATAACTTCCTCCTCTCATTCCCTTCCCCATTCCCCCAAGACGAGTCACAAATTCCGGACTAGGGAAGTGACACTGAGGGCAATCTGGGCGGTGGAGGGAGAGTAACTGTATGCATGCTGTGAGCAACAGACTGTTCTTCCTGCTATAGCCTCACTCTTGTTTGGGAAACAACGTTGCAAGAATGTAAACTAGTATTACCCAACCCTGCATGATCCAGGTCAGTAAAAAGCAGGAGGACCAAACTGCCCTCATTTTCCACATCCAGTGTTTTGCACACAGTAGGCATATAACTGATATTTGAATTGTTACCTCCATGACTACAGAGCTTAGCAGATGTTCTTTCCTCCCTTCTCACTTAATACCTATGTGCCCTTGGATAAGTCCCTTAATCTCTTTTGTACCTCAGTTTCCACCTCTGTAGAATGAGGAAAGTGGATTAAATGTCCTCTTCTAAGGTCCCTTTTGGTTCTAAAGCTACATTCCTATGCTCAAACTGGAAAACTGAGCTCCACTCTTCCCAAACACACTTTCTTCCATACAATTAACAATTAGAATACACTTCCTTAGACCCACTTGCCTCCTTAGATCACTTGGAGACGTGTGGAGATACTATGCTAAGCACACTTTCTGAAACCCCTCATTTTCACATGAAATAACTTCCTCTATAAAGTTTTGCCAGTGCAGAAAAAGTCTTTGAAGTTACATGGTTCTCTCTTTTAAACTTAGGCTCAGATTCCCAGATCCTTCTCAAGAATGATTCTGAGGGGGCAGCTAGGTGGCGCAGTGGACAGAGCACCAGTCCTCGATTCAGGAGGACCTGACTTCAAATCCAGGCCTCAGACACATAACACTTCGTAGCTATGACCCTGGGCAAGTCATTTAACCCCACTGCCTAGCGAAAAAAAAAAAAGATTCTGAGATGAGACAAGGTCATCATTTGGTAGAATACCTAGGTCACTGCCCTGCCCCAGGAGGTGATGGTTTGCTCCATTTGTCAGAGGCCATTAGGATCACCAGTTTGCCCAGAAGCAGCCTGCTGCTGTTGTAATCATATAGGCCCTAGTGGAGTCTCCCCACCACTTCTGTGCCCCCTAACTGGCTTCTCTTGCTCATTCCCATCATAAAGATAATAGGCCTTAGGCTGGAATAGAGCAACACAAAGGATAGGTAGTAATAACGCTAAGCTGGTCACCAGGATGGGAGATGGCGAGGCAGAAAGCATTACTAGATTCTGAAAAAGTTGTGGAGATCTTACTCATGATTCAGAAGGAAGTTTTTAATTCCTTTTAAAAAAAAAACAAACCATAGCATCCATCAGCGACACCTGAATTCATCCTGTAAGGTGACAGCCAATTTGTTTTAACAACTAAGGTGCATTGCACCCAACTAGCATTCTCTGCAATAGCAGAACTGTAATTATGAGAGAGAGCCTCTGGGGACCAATGGAAAAACACATGCATTCATCCAAACAGTGCTATCAGAATAATGTCATGCTTCAGTGAAAGTGTTTGAAGTAGCTTGTCCTACTGTATTGCATTTTGAAGAGCTGTGATAATCCGGAAATAACCATCCCTCCACTGAGCAGAAATAACTGCTCCCAAAGTGTTTAAGCCATTTCCAGAAAAGTCTGCTGTCAGTAAGACTCAGCTTTCTGTGTTGGCAACAGTTTTCCTATCTGTTCTTTCTTCACCTTATCTGGACACCAGGGTGTTATTTGGGAAGTGACTCAACATAGTTTCACAGGTATTAGTTCCAGACGCTGAGTGCTGTTCAGGTTGACAATGCAAGCCCTAAATCATGGGCATAATAAATAGATATATAGGACATTCCTTTCCAAAAGGCAGACATTGAAGTCTTTACTTGTGCAGAAATCCTTAGCTGTCTGATAACATTCCTGAAATATTTCTGAGTTTCAAGGGAACTACATAGTAGTACAAAAAAGGGTAGACTGATGGACAAGAGAAAATAATTTACATGTTACTTCTTCAATGAAGAAACAGCTTTCAATGATCAACTCTCTAACACATAGCCCTATGGACAAGGTTACAGATGCAGTCAGCACAGATATGTAAGGAGAACTTACATATGGCACCTTCTTATTTTTTTTATGAAGAGCTGGTATGGCTTCCAATGGCATGGTCATTTCAGTGAAACCAGGTTACTTATTCAGTCAATTTCTCCAGCAATTGTCAACATCCAATCACAGGAGACAGTTGTTTCCAGCTTCTTTCCCCAAAGCAATGAAATACCCAGTTCGAACCCAAATGTCTCACACACACACACACACACACACACACACACACACACACACACTCTACACTACACTCCCACCTTTAAAAATTCCTTATAATACATAAGCAAGAGCTTGTCTCAGTGAAGGTGATCTCTGTCATGAACATGAGCCTAGGGCAAAGCCAATGGCACAAAACGGATGGTTTTGCACCATTCCATTCTCATAGACTGGGAGCAGGCAGGAAATGGTTACCACAGGTTTCTAGGTCCATGTGCTCCTCTTCCAAGGAGCCATGTTACTGTCAGCTCCAAATTATATCCATTGGCCCCAACTGTGGATGAAGGGCAGATGAACTGATACTTTGACTTCAAAGCTGATTCTATAAGCCATTATGACTAATACTATCTCTACAAGATATTGCTTTGATCCCAGGTTGTTGAAAGAAATTCTTAAACTCAATAAAGAGGGAATAATTTTTTGAAAAGGGACATCGTCATGATAAAATACGTACTGGGAAAGAACTTATGTTTCTTCTAACAGTTTATGGCACTTTACAACCTTACTTCTTGTCACCTTCTGTGATACAGTAAATCCTGGGCTCACCACTCATTTTCTGTTTGGCTCGAAACTACAGAAAAAGATCTAGAAGCGTATTAGAAGACTATACATTACACCAAAATTTCTCTAGTGCCTCTGGACACTCATTGAGTGTGCAGTACACACTCACTGTTCAGCACGTAGGCACTGAGGAAGACTGCAATTATGGAGACAAATAAGTTCAAAACAGTCAATGCTTTGCTGCAAGGTGACTGTCTAATGACAACATCCAATGAAACTGTCCAAAGTAGCCAGGATTCTGTTCTGGAGCAGTCTCACGTTGAGCTTGGCAAAGTGTATAAAAAACAAACAAACAAACAAACAAAGCCAAATCACTGAAGCCTAAACTGAGCAGCAGCTGGGTTTCTGAAATGGCCCCGAACCATTTATACTCATTCCTAGTGGTAGCATCCATGACATGTCACTCAAATCAAATCTGTTCTTACTGAGCCTTTATCATGTTTCACAGTAACACAGATGAACACTGAAGAGTAAAGAATGAGCAGCCTGTAACTGAGCAATTCTTTTCAGTCTTTGCCATCTTTAAATCTTCTGTCCCATCCTTTGTCTGCCATGGAAACTTCAACTTTGAATGGTCTGTGAAACAGCAAGTGTTCCAGGGGTCTTCCTGGTTCCATTCCTTGAGTAGATAGAATTCATGTGTAAATAACACAGAATGACAGTGGCTGCACACTGTCCTGTGATGTTAAAAGTAGTCTCTTCTCCTGCTCTCATCACTGATGAAAGAAGGGTTATACTGTCCGGGAAAGATGCAAGAATGCCGAGATCCTGGCAAGCCAGTGTAGGTAGGGTAGAGGCCATTTCGTTCAAGTTCTGGGTTCCTGACATTTGTGGGCTAAGTCATCAAAAAAAAAAAGGGGGGGGATTGAAAGGGAAAAAAAAGAGAGAGAGGAATCAATTTCTAATTCTTGAATTTAAATTCAATAATCAAATTATTCTAAACACTTAATTTTGCACTTTACGAAATTCAATGGGGAGACAAGGTAGCAACGTGCAGGGTAGGGTGCTAGAAGTGGGGATTCTTCCTAGATCTGCCACGACTATCTCCCCAAAGCCAACATCTCTCACAAGATGTCTACTCTCTCCATGTCTCAGCTCTTCCATTTTTAAAACAGAGCTACGCCTTACGTTGACACATCACTTTACAAGTTAAAAAGTGCTTTCATATATACATATATATGTATGTATTTATCTCAAATGACCCTCATGATAATCCTGTGATTTAGTTAGTGCAGACAGCATTCTAGCCAGTTTAGTGATGAGGAAACTGAGGCTCACAGGGTTTAAGAGACTTGCCCAAGGTCCCATGGCTAGTTAGTGGCAGAGGTAGGACTCAAATCCAGGTCTTCTGACTCCAAATGCAGAGCTTTCCCACTATACCGCACTGTTCTCCTGGTACACCATGCAGCTCTCCTGATAATATTGAGGCGACAATAACATTAGCATCCTTAAACACAACTAATGTTGGCAAAGTACCTTTAGGAAAAGCACTGGTGTAGACAGAAGGTGTGACAATGGCACCACATTTAGGCTAGGGGCTGGACCCATGATTTCATTGGTATAAGGAACTCTCAAGTGAGGAAACTGTTTCTACCAACATATAAGACAGCCCTTTCTCCAGAACTTGAAGTCTTAGAGAGTTGCCCAGGGTCACACAGCCAGAATGCATTGGAGGTGAGATTTGAACTCACATCTTCCTGGCTAGCTCTCTACCCACTCTGTCATGCTGCCTTTCTTCACATAGGAATGCCTTAAATTCGCAGAGCTCTTTTCTACTGGGAGACTACAACGCATGCTACCCACTTTTTGGCATTTAGGATACAAGTATTTTTTCCATTCCCCAGAAGGAGAAACTGAGGCACAAATAAATGAAGTGTTCACAATTACTAAGTGGTACAGATAGCACCAAAAGCCAAGAGGGAGACTGGTGTTTCTTTTTTAATGGACTAGTGATTATCAGTCTTTCTTTTACCATCCTTTTTGGGTGAGGTCAAAGATCATACAGACTACATCTACTCCATCACCTCTACTCCCTCTCCCTCCTTTTTTCTTTTTTGGCCCCTGCAAATTATCTCCCCAGAATGAGTCAGTAAGCTGATTCTGTATTTGAGGAGACAACAATAAGGAATATTCAATGTAAATGACTAATTCATGCTAGAAGCCAAAAAGTGTAGACATCATCCTATGATTAACATGAGTATTACCATAGGCAACTGCATCACCTAAACAACTGCTCCACACATTGATGGCCCATGCTATGCTAAGAGAACTAGAAATTAGCACTATTCAAAAATCTCGGCTTTCAAAGCACTTCGTGTATGTGGGGACTGGATGTCGCTGCTACGTTGTATATAGCTCTAGCATATAGCTCATTTGAACATGGGTATTTGCGTACTATCTCCCTCTTTAGGCTGTGAGCTCTTTGAGGGCAGGGACTTTCACCTTTCTTCGTATCTCCGGCACTTAGCACAGCACCTGGCACGAAGAAGGTGCTTAATGTGTTAGTGACTGACTGATATTGATTGTGCTCTATTCGTTGCTAAGATTACTGCAGAGAACTGAAAACTTGGTTGGGTTCATTTACATTTTTTGACTGTTAATGCTTACAATCTGTTTATAGTAACTCTAAATCTAATCCATGGTAACATGCAGATGAATTAGTTCTAAATTTGTCTGACAAGGATGATCAAACGGTTTGAACACTCCTGAGGTAAGTCACAGCTAAAGAGTCACTAGGGGAGAGAGAGAGAAAAAAAAGAAAGAGAGAGAGAGAGAGAGAGAGAGAGAGAGGCGCATGCAGACACACAAGTAAAATCAAAGGAAAGCTAAGTTTTCTTCAGTGAGGTAACTTTTGTAAAGATACTGCTTTGCAAAAAAGTTAGTGCTATAAAAATGTTAGTTATTATTATTATTAGGAGAAGGGCAGGAAGAGAAGGAGGAAGAGAAGTTTAGTTGAAAGAAAATCTTTTTTTTTTTTTTGTGAAGCGGGCTCTTGGATTGTAAAATCATTTGGTTTTGAGAGAATAGTTAAGCCCTCTGATGAATTTGGGAAACATCACACGTAAAGAAACTCATCAGGTAATTTGGAACCTAACAATTTACACAGTGAGCACAATAATGTACAAGAAAATCACACCAAAAATATCAGAACTCTGGTCAACGCTATGACCAATGGGCACTTCAGAGGACTAGTGATGAAACATATTGCCATCCTTTCAATCAAGGAGAGGTAGATTGCAGGTGAGGAACAAGTCATATCCTGTTACATCTGGACAATGTATTAGATTATCTTCCATAATTGTATTTCTTTGTTGAAAAGTGATGGTTCTGTGTCTTAAATACTAACTCCCTCCTCTTAGAACTAACCACCACCTCTTAGAACCTCTAGTTTGCTTCAGAGAAAGTTCAAGAGCCACCTTCTAAGGGCAGCTTGGTGGCGCAATGGATAGAGCACTGGCCCTGAAGTCAGGAGGACCTGAGTTCAAATCCAGCCTTAGACCAAACACTTGACACTTACTAGCAGTGTGACCTTGGGCAAGTCACTTAACCCCAACTGCCTAATTAAAAAAAAAAAGAGCCGCTTTCTATATGAAGACTTTACAGATGCCCCTGAGGAGTAACCTCCCCTCCAGAATTAGGTTATGTCTGTCTGTCTATCTATCTTTCTATTTCTCTCTCTCATTAAATCTATCTCATCCATCCATCCATCCATCCATCCATCTAATCAATCAATATATATAGATTTGTCTATTATCTCTAGATATCTCTAAATATTTCTATGTATATATATATATATATACATAGATAAACATATAAAAATATTAATACACACACACACACACACACACACACATATATATATATATATCAATCTATCTTGAGAAGACCTATTTCTATATTCTTCTTATTGGGAAGTGATAATAATGCTTTTTTAAGTGTCAATAAAATATTTATTTGAAAAACTTTAAAGGAAATTTGGAATCTAGAAATAATTCTACCACTGTATTCCACTTCTCCTTATTTGTTTTCCCCAAAAAAACTCCCTCCCCCACTCTCAGCTAAGTTGTGACTTTTAAAAATAATTCATCAAAACAAACAGTTTTCTAGTTCCAGGAAAGTAGTCCCTCCCATCTAAAGTCTGAATCCTCATAATTATTTCCACAGCAACTACAGGATTATGACCTTTGGAATAAGAATGGTACTATTAAAAGAGCCTAGAGGGGCAAGGTTTCATTACCATTATCTTGTACCTCTAGCTAAGAGTTCTATGCCATGCACAGAATTTAATTTTCAGCTCTGGTGCTCTCTGACTGTATATTTATTTCCTATTTCATACAGTACAATGCAAAATGACCCTTGGATAGCATGCCCTAGCACGAAGGGAAGTCACGAGTGAAATAGAGCCTTGGTATCTTTTTAGGACAGTTTTCACACCATCTTGTCCAGAGAGAGGAGGATGGACATGTTACTCTACTGAAGAATTCTCCCTTCATACTGAATGGTACAGTGAAAAGAAGACCAGATTTGGAGGTCAGAGAACCTGGGTGTGAATTCTAGCTCTTTCTCTTATTTTCAGAGTAGCTTTTGGCAATCCCCTCAGCCTTGGTTTCCTCAAATGTCAAAAGAAAAGGGGCTGGACAACAGTATCTCTTTTGGCTCTCCTCTTCTCTCCACCCACCACTGTTGCCGTGTAGGCCCTCTTCACCCCTCAACCTGAACTACTACAACAGCCTCCTAATTAATTTCCCTGCCTCAGACCTCTCCCTGCTCCAACTGATCTTTCACACAGATCTAAAGTGATTTTCCTAAAACGTAGGTCATATCACTTCCCTTCCCTGTTCAGTAATAAACTCTAATGGCTATCTCTTGACTCAAGGATCAAATTCAAATTCTTCTGGGATTTAAAGGCCTTTGTAACCTGGCCCCAACCTGTCACTCCTGCTTTGTGATACAGTATTTTCCTTCTTCTATTTCCCATCCAGGCAGACTGAAATACATTCTCTGCTCACCTCCAACTCTTTGAAACCCTTCACAACAAGGGTCAAATGCCACCTCCCATATGAATCTTCTCTCTGCACTACTTCCCCAGGCATAAGTGACTCCCCGCTAAAATTAAGCATTCTCTCTCTCTGCCTCTCACTCTCTCTCTGCCTCTCATTCTCTTTCTCTGTCTCTCTCTTGTCATCATCATCATCATCATCATCATTTATCTGTAGATGCTAGGTAGTACAATGGATAGAGCACTGTGTCTGGAGTCAGGAAGACCTGAGTTCAAATCCAGTTTCAGACACTTATTAGCTGTGTGACCCTGGGGAAGTCACTTCAAATGACTGCCTCAGTTTCTTCAACTATAAAATGGGGATAATAATAGCACCTATCCCCTAGGGTTATTTTGAGTATCAAATGAAATAATGCTTGTAAAGCACTTAGTACAGTATCTAACACATAGTAAGGGCTTAATAAATGCTTATGACAGGACCTGCATTCAAATTCGGCCTCAGACACTAGCTATATGACCCTGGACAAGTCACTTAACCTTGGTTGCCTCCAAAAGCAAAAACAGATAGATAGATAGATAGATAGATAGATAGATAGATAGATAGTAGATAGATAGATAGATAGACAGAGATAGACAGACAGATAAATAAATGCTTGTCCTTCCTTATTCCTTTCATTATTCAATTCCATAAACACTTATTAAGTGCCTGCTATGTGCCAGTGACTATACTAAGGGCTGGGGATACAAAAAGAAGCAAAAGACATTTCCTGCCCTCAAGAAGTTTACAATATAATGGGGGAGTCAACATGCAAACACATACAAAGCGAGCTACACATAGGATAAATAAGAAATAATTAGAAGAGGGAAAGCAATAAGCAATAAGAAGGCTTACTATAGAAAGTGGGATTTTAGCTGGGGCTTAAAGGAAGCCAAGGAGGTCAGTAGTTGAAGAGAAGAAGGGAGAGCATAGGAAACAGCCAGAGAAAATGCCGAAAGCCAAGAGACAGGGTCTTGTTAGTGAAACAGGAGACCATTGTCACTGGATCAAAGAGTACATGTCAGGGATTTTTTTGGGGGGGCCTCACAATAGGGTTAAGTGACTTGCCCAGGGTCACACAGCTAGTAGGTGTCAAATGTCTGAGGCCAGATTTGAACTCAGGTCCTCCTGACTCCAGGGCTGCTGCTCTATCCACTATGCCACTTAGCTGCCCCTTGCCAGGGATTTTAAAGTGTAAGAAGATTGTAAAGGTAGGAGAGGGCTAGGTGATGAAGGGCTCTGAATGTCAAATAGAGCATTTTGTATTTGATCTTGGAAGTAATAGGAAGCCACTGGAGTTTATTACGTAGGGATGACAATCAGACTTGAGTTTTAGGAAAATCACTTTAGTGGCTGAATGGAGGATGAATTGGAATGGGGAGAGACTTGAGGCAGGCAGATCCACCAGCAGGTTATTGCAATAGTCCAGGTATGAGGTGACGAGGGTTTGCCCCAGAGTGGTGGCAGTGTCAGAGGACAGAAGGGGGTATATTGGATAGATGTTGCAAAGGTGAGATCAACAGGCATTATCAACAGGTTGGATAGGGGGGCTGAGAGATGGTGAGGAATACAGGATGATTCTTAGGTTGTGAGTCTGAGGCACTGGGAAGATGGTCTTGTCCTCCACAGTAATAGCGAAGGTAGGAGGTGGGGTAAGGTTTAGGGGGAAAGATAATGAGTTCCGTTTTGGACGTATTGGGTTTAAGATGTCTACTAGATATCTAGTTCAGGATATCTGAAAGGAAGCTGGAGGTCAGCAGTGAAATTTAAGCAGGAAAGATAGATTTGAGGATCATCAGAATAAAGATGATAATTAAATCCATGGAAGCTGATGAGATCACCAAATGAAGTATAGTATAGAGGGAGAAGAGCAGAGGACCCAGGACAGAACACTGAGGGACACCTACAGTTAGAGGACATGATCTGAGGGAGGATCCAGCAAAGGAGACAGAGCAGGAGCGGTCAGAGAGGTAGGAAGGGAACCAGGAAAGAGTGGTATCCCAAAATCCTAGAGAAAAGAAAGCATCAAGTGGACAGAGTGATCAACAGTGTCATAGGCTGTAGAGATGCCAAGAACAATGAGGACTGAGAAAAAGCCACGCATTTGGTCACTAAATGATCATCAGCAACTTTGGAGAGAGCCGTGTCAGTGGAATGATAAGGTCAGAAGCCAGACTGCAAGGGGTTAAAAAAAGTGAGAGGAGAGAAAGTGGAGACACCTATTGTAGACAGTCTTTTTGAGGAGGTTAGCTAAAAAGGGCAGAAGAGAAATAGGATGATAATGGGAATAATGAGGTTTTTTCAAGATAGGGATAAATGAGTATATTTGTGCGCACACACACACACACACACAAAGTTCCCTCATACAAACTATAAACTCCGTGAGGGCGGAGTGTATTTCACTGTTTTCCTTGTAGCCCCAGACCCTTGCATACACTGGGTGCTTAATACATGCTTGACCCTCTGTTGACTAATTGGTTAGATGGTTTCTAGTGTTTCATCTCCAAGTTTATGCTCCTCTGAGACCACGGGTTTCTAACACTGCTCTGAGTGATGTTTATTGTTGATGATGTCAAAAAGGATGAGATAATCTTTCTGTACCCTGGGAAATTTCAATCTCTTTTACAAAAGGGAAATTATACTACCCACCACCTGGAGCATGAGAATAAATCTCTAAAGTATGGAAGGCCTGGATAGGATGATGAAATTGCTACCTGTTAAATAGCTCCATGTTATTATACACATCATACAGTCATAGAATTGGAAGGGCTCATAGAAATAATTGATTCCCCAACCCTAATTTAACAGAAGAACAGACTGAAATTTAGAGACTTGACAGGACCTCTTTTTTTTTTTCTCCTCTGATTCTTGGTGAGGCAATCGGGGTTAAGTGACTTGCCCAGGGTCGCACAGCTACTGAGTGTCAAGTGCATGAGGCCAGAATTTGAACTCAGGTCCTCCTGACTCTAAGGCCAGATTTTATCCACTACTCCACCTAGCTGCCCCCTGACAGGGCCCTTTTTGAAGTCACACAGCAAGCAGAGACAGAGCTGGCCTACTATGTAGTTCTCCCTACTTCCAAGTGTTCTTTCCATGAAACCATACTGACTCTCTGAAACTTCCTCATTGAAGCCCAGAGATGGAATTTTCTGGAGAAGCAATGGTCCCATAACACAGGTATTTGCTAACATCTCATAAGAGATCTGTACAAATAGAGGCTGACTTAAGCAATGGAACTAGTCATCATTTGGATGGTGTGTCAGAAAGACATCAGTTGTGGATAGAGTGATGGACTGGGAGTCAGATAGACCGGGGTTCAAATCCTACTTCAGTCACTTACTATCTGTGTGACCCTGGTCAAGGCACTTTAACCTTTCTAGGCCTCAGTTTCATTATGGACTCAATAGCCTCTAAAGTCCCTCCTAGCTCTATATCTATAGCTTTAACATCCTACTATGGAAACAAAAACTGTCTAACCAACCTACTCAGTCTTCAGAGGACATAGGGAGTTGTAATCTGGCTTCTCCGGGGGAAGATTATCGTGACTAGTGCCATATCTTGCAAATGCATGTGCTGGACGGATATATGAACCTCTCACATTGAAGTCTCCAAACACAGCCCATATCATATAAGTAAACCATAATCAAATTAACTCTAAAAGCATGCAAATGTGAGTCCCATGGTGCCATTCTCTCCCTCTTCTTCTTATAACAGTGATGTTTATATTCTTCTTAAACAGTGATGTTTATATTATAACATATTATAATGTATTTATATTACATAGCCTAAAGATATACCAAAACACTTAGGGTAGTGACATGGGACAGACCCAACTACTCTAAACCTGAATCAAGCAGACCCAAGTTTGTTCCTGGCTTGTGAATACGTACAGAGTAATAGACATCGGTCATCTGGAGGAGGTTCTTAGTACTTCCATTTTCGTGCATTTCAATGGCCTCTCGGCCCCATTCCTGTGATCGAGGGTTCTTGGGGTACTCAGCGTATGGGGACATTTGAAAATCACCACTTTTGAAGATGAGTTTGCTTATGTCGTTTTTATTCTTTCTGTAGAAGGAAAAAGATAACACTGATGAAGTCAAATAATTTCAGTTTAAGGAGTTTTGAGATGAAAGTATCAGATACCACTTATGGGACAAATGGAGTGGAAAGCTGCCATATTGTTTCTGGAGCAGTGAGCCCATTTTTTTTTAACAGTGGTCTGATAATCACAAGTGAAGGAGTACATTTGCTTCGTTGATCCAATTTCAGAAATGAAAGTACAAAGATACTAATTTAAGATTTTAAATATATATAATGATATTTCCCAACAGCACAGCCAATGTGTATCAGAGGCAGAGCTCAGACCTACATATCTCTAACCAAAAGGCCAATTCTCTGCCCACTATGATACACAACTCCATCAATTATACTGCCTTACATGTACGCTGTGCTCTATGGTTTACAAAGTGTTTTCACATAAGAGTATCTAATGAATATCAGAACAGAAAGGCAGCCTGACATAGAGCATAGAGAGCCAGCCTTGGAATTAGGAAGACAAGTTCAAATCCTGCCTCTGATAGATTCTGTATGTATGACCCTGGACAAGTCACTTAACTTCTCAGACTTCTAACCAAGGCAGCTATGCGGCAAAGTAAAAAGACCATTGAGCCTAGAGTTGGGAAAATCTGAGTTCAGATCCAACCTCATACACTTCCCAGCTGTGTGATCTTGTGCAAGTCACTTAACCTCAGTCTGCCTCAGTTTCCTCAACTTTAAAACAAGGTTAATAATAGCACCTACCTATCAGGGTTGTTATGAGGATCAAATAGGTTAATATTTATGAAATACTTAACATATTGCCTGGCACATAGCTTAGTAAATACTGGTTCCACACTCCCTGTAAGACTATAATTGCAGAGAAGGTTCTAATCTTTATTGATAGAAGACATTTCTTTATACATGAATTCCCTATATTAATGGGCAGTCTATCTCAGAACAACCCTTTGAGGTATGCAAGATAGGCATTATCTCCATTTTAACACGTGGGGTAGGTTAAGATAAAAGTATAGGTAGGCTGGGAAATGATGGCAGCTGTTTGTTGAGAATAGCCAGGGATGGGGGGGGGAGGGGGAAAGGTTGAAATAAAAAACCTGAAGGCAATTCAGAGATGATCTTCTAGTCCAAACCTCTCATTTTATCTTTCAAGTAATAAAACTGACATCACATAAAGCTATAAAAGCTGGATATTTATTTAGCTCACCTGAAAAATGACCACTATTCTTATTCAGGATAACAGGAGAACTCAGCTCTCTGCTAAGGCATTCCTGGAATCTTCCTCTCTGAGTAGTTGTTAAGCATGGTCATTATTCAGCCTATCCAGGAGCTAAGGTTAGAGGATTTAACTCATCTTTGAATAGAAGCTCATTCCTGTCCATTTTCCTATTCTGGGGAAGGCCTGGAAAGGAATCTGGGCTAAACCCTGGGTCATAAAACTCAATGTCCAACATACAGATAGGTAAGCATGGTCATGATGCAACCAACCTAGGGACCTAGAGCAAAGGTTAGAGGGTTTAAATTGTCTTTGAGCAAGAAGTTCATTCCTGTCTAATTATTCATTCTGGTAAAGGCCTGGAAAGGAATCTGCACTAAAACCTGGGTCATAAAATCCAATGTCCAACATACAGATAGGTAAGCATGGTCATGATGCAACCTATCTAACGGGACCTAGAGCAAAGGTTAGAGGGCTTAAATTGTCTTTGAGCGGGAAGTTCATTCCTGTCCAATTATCCATTCTGGTAAAGGCCTGGAAAGGAATATGCCCTAAACCCTGGGTTATAAAACCCAATGGCCAATACACGCCTGAGTTCTGTCACTGTTCCCCTGGGGATGGGGCAACCTGAGTCTCACAATGATTACCCTCCCTCTCAATAAGGAATGGTTGCAAGTTTTTTCTAAGCATGATAATGTTTCTCTAAAATACAAATTTCACTTTCCTCTTGAGTAGCCAATGTTTATCCCTCCAGGTCACTGCCCACAAACCTTTGTCCAGATCCCTCTTTTCCACTCACCCAAGTGACAAAGAGAGGGAGTTTAGCAAAAAGTGACGAGTGGCTAAAAGTACTAGACAGGCTTCCAAGAAATGGGGGGACTGATCTCAGGCTGGCAGTGTTGGTGGAGAGCTCACCAATTCCCTCAAGAAATTCTAGTAGGTGAGGAGACTTCTAAGCACTTGGCTGGTCCATACTCTCTTACATCCTTAATATTCCCTGCCTTGATTTCCTCCTAGACCTCAAACTAGGATTTTCCCTCCAGGCCTCTTACTCCCCTACACCTACTCTTCAATACAGTGACACTGATCCCCTCCTTCCACGAACAAGACCCCAGGTGTTTTCTCTGGCTGTCCTCTATGCCTGGAATGCGCTCCCTCCTCCACTCCAACTATTGACTTCCTTGGCTTCCTTTAAATCCCAACTAAAATCTGGCTTTCTTGTTTACTTGGTTTTTTTGTTTGTTTGTTTTTGGTAAGGGCAATTGTGGTTAAGTGTCACACAGCTAGTGAGTGTTATGTGTCGGAGGCCAGATTTGAACGCAGGTCCTCCTGACTCCAGGGCTGGTGCTCTATTCACTGTGCCACCTAGCTGCCCCTAAAATCTGGCTTTCTACAGGAAGTCTTCCCCAACTCCTCTTAATTCTTTAATGTCTTCCCTCTGTTAATTATTTCCTATTTATCCTGTCTATAGCTTGCTTTGTATATATATTTTTACATGTCGTCTCCTCCTTTAGATCGTAAACTCCTCAAGGGCGAGGACTGTCGTTTGCCTCTTTTTGTATTCCCAGCACTTAGCCCAGTGCCTGGCACACAGGAGGCACTTAATAAATTTTACTGATTGATTGATTGAACAAACCATCATAGACAATAGTGGCTAACAACCTTATGCCATCTTCTACTTAAGCTACCATCATCATGATCATAATCCAAAAGCAAAGGACTTAAAGGCTGCACTCAGGATACTCACCGGCAGCAGGTAACAATCAGTGCGATTCCTAGGATGAGAAGGAGCCCACCTCCAGCAGCTGCAATCACCACAGTGATAAGCTGATAAGCTAAATATATAGGAAACATTCAATGTAATGAATAAGTATGCTAATAATAGGACTTTACAAGTGCACAAAGTACACCTATAAGGTACAAAGCTACAAAGTAGAAAACTTACAAAGTGTATGTTTTCCCCCTAAAGGAGATAATATGATGTAGCAGTGTAGAAGGCCCTGAATCAGGGATATATGGGTTCAAGGCCTATCAGGGACATACATATATATACATGTACACACACACACACACACGTATGTGTGTGTATATGTCTATATATGCACATATACATACACACACATATAATGTATATATATGTATACTTATACATATATTCTTTTTTTTTCCTCTCAAGAATTATTTGTCCTTTTCTTTTGATTATCTGGCAACTGAGGAATGATTCTTATTCTTACAAATCTGATATATAACTTATATAGTTCCTTATATAACTTAGAAATGAGAATCTTACCAGAGAAATTTGTTGCAAAGAATTTCTATACCCTCCCCTTACCTGTCCTCCCCCCAAACCCAACCAAAACAGATTCTCTTCTAATCTTGGTTTCATTGGTTTCATTTGTGCAAAGCAAGACCTTGTTCAAGTCACAGCTCTGACTATGTGACCCTGGACAAGATACTTTCCTCAATGCTCTGGGAAACTCTCTGAGGCTATAAGTGGAAGAGAAGGTCCCTATCTGTACTGGTAGAGGGATTTTCCATATCCAGGAGTTCCCTGTATCAATGGAATCATAGGTCTGGTCCCTGTCCCTTCATTCCTCATTTTTAAAAGATGACCCAGGAGACCCCCTTCAGCCCCAGATCAATGACACATATGTGATCTCATGGGAGCGTCATAAGAGCCCCTGAGTCTGGTAACAGAAACATTATTATCCTCATTTTGTGAATGAGGAAACCGGGGCCTGGAGATGTGGGGTGACTTGCTGGCAGTCACATAATTAGCAACATTTTGCTAATTAACCTGGACTTCAACCCAGACCTCTTGATATTTATGAGTCCAGTGCCCCTTCTTTTATGTCATCTGTTCTCAAATTCTTTGGTCTTGGAAACTTTAAACTTTTAAAATTATTGAGGATCCCCCCAAAGCTTTTATTTATGTGGGTTCTATCTATTGATATATAGATATATATTTATAGATACTTATAAATGTTATATATATAAATGTTATAATAAAATATATTATAGTGATATCTTATTATATGATATATTATAGAACTAATCTAATAATATGATATAACTATACATTGTATTATATTATATTAATATATGCTATTTATATAACATCTATATATTAATATAGGCACGACATAATATTTATATATAATGTAATAATCTATTACATGTAATTAATAACATAATTATGTAACACATACTTATAGCATAATATATAAATGACATATAACATGTAATAAAATAAATAAATGTTAATATTATAAATGATGCATTTATATATTTATAAATATATATGCTAGAAATATAGCATCTTAGTAATATTATAAAAATAGTCTTGACCTCACAACCCCCTTGAAAGGGTCTTGGGGGATTCCCCACTCGTCCCTGGACCATACTTTGAGAGCTGCTGTTTTATACCCGACCAAATCTCTGATTTAAAAAAAAAAATTCCATCATTCATTCTCACATTCATCAGATAACTTATTTTTTTAGTTCGCCCAGAAGGTAAAGGTCAGTGAGCAAGGTTCTAGTTTTTCCATCTCAATACATTTCTCTCTACAACACATCCTTTCTAGCCTCAGGAGAAAGTTATTTTACCTCTCTTGGGCTCCTCCCTTCTTCGCCCATGCTTTATATCCCCGGCCTGATCTTGCTCCCACAATTAGAAAGACATAGTGGGTACAGACATGGCTGGACTTGGGAGCTAGAAAGACCTGAGTTCTAATCCTGCCTCAGGCACCTATCAGTGTGCAACCTTAGGCAAGTCATTTTCACATATCTTAACCTCAGATTCCTCATCTGTAAAAAATGGGTAACAAGGAGGGCAGAATCAAGATGGCTGAGTGAAAGCACTGACTTGCTTGAGCTCTCCCCCAAACCCCTCCAAATACCACTAAAAAAATGGCTCTAAAAAATTCTAAAGCAGCAGAGCCCACAAAAAGATGGAGTAAAACAAATTTCCAGCCCAAGACAGGCTGGATGCTTGAACAGAAAGGCATATCGCACTGGGCGGGGAGAGGAGCTCAGTTTGGCATGGGCTCACAGGCCTCAGTGAACCTGAAGCAGGCCTCAGAGGACTGAATCACAGGCAACTGTGGTGGTTTCCAGACTCCTCAATCCACGAATGAAGACAACTTAGAAGGTCAGTGGGAAAAGTTTGTTTTTTCAGTGAGAGAAGAGCTAGGTCAGAGCCAGTTCCAGAGCGCAGAGCCCAGAGTGCAGAGCCCAGAGTCCAGAGCGCAGGACCTGGGGCGGTGGCTGTGTCCTGAGCTTCTGGCCCACTGACTGAGGGGGAATCCAGTGGCTGATCAGAGGTGGACTGCAGGGTACTAAGGCAGGAATCTCTTGCTTTGCCCATGCTTAGATCTGGGTCACAGTTCTGGGTGGCGGTCCTGGGGTGAGGAGGAGTGCTGGTGCGGTGGAGCTTGTAGTAGCGGTACAGAGAAAACCCTCCTCACAGTTCCAAGAGAGAAAACACTGCTTGTGGCCGGTCACTCAAAGACCAGAGCACAGGTCAGGAAAAGAGTAAATACCTCGACCCTTATCATACCACCTTGGAAGAACTGAAAATTTACAGGTCCCTACAAGTATCTCTGAAAACCCCGAAGTTTGGGACAGTACATTCTCCACATTGGAAGCAGACTTTTACCTTAACAAAGAGTTTAAAACTCAAGTAGCTGGCTGGAACCATGAGCAAACCTCGCAAAAAGAGTCAGACTATATTATCTTACTTTGGTGACAAAGAAGATCAAAATATACAACCAGAAGACAACAAAGTCAAAGCTCCTACATCCAAAGCCTCCAAGAAAAATATGAATCAGTCCCAGGCCTTGGAAGAGCTCAGAAGGGATTTTGAGAAGCAAGTATGAGAAGTAGAGGAAAAACCGGGAAGACAAATGAAAGTGATGCAAGAAAATCATGAAAAACAAGTCAACAGCTTGCTAAAGGAGACCCAAAAAAATACTGAAGAAAATAACACCTTAAAAAATAGCCAAACCCAAATGGCAAAAGAGGTCCAAAAAGCCAATGAGGAGAAGAATGCCCAAAAAGCAAAATTGGCCAAATGGAAAAGGAAGTCCAAAAGCTTACTGAAGAAAATACTTCCTTAAAAATTAGAATAGAGCAATTGGAAGACAGTGACTTTATGAGAAATCAAGACACTGTAAAACAAATCCAAAAGAATGAAAAATTAGACAATGTGAAATATCTCATTGGAAAAACAACTGACCTGGAAAATAGATCCAGGAGAGAGAATTTAAAAATTATTGGACTATCTGAAAGCCATGATCAAAAAAAGAGCCTAGACATCATCTTTCAAGAAATTATCAAGGAAAACTGCCCTGATATTAGAACCAGAGGGCAAAATAGAAATTGAAAGAATCCACAGATCTCCTCCTGAAAGAGATCCCCAAAGGAAAACTCCTAGGAATATTGTAGCCAAATTCCAGAGTTCCCAGGTCAAGGAGAAAATATTACAAGCAGCCAGAAAGAAACAATTCAAGTATGTGGAAACACAATCAGGATAACACAAGATTTAGCAGCTTCTACATTAAGGACCACAGGGCATGGAATATAATATTTGGAGGGCAAAGGAGATAGGATTACAACCAAGAATCACCTACCCAGCAAAACTGAGTATAATCCTTCAGGGGAAAAAATGGTCATTCAGTGAAATAGGGGACTTTCAAGCATTCTTGGTGAAAAAACCAGAGCTGAATAGAAAATTTGACTTTCAAATACAAGACTCAAGTGGAACATGAAGAGGTAAACAGGAAAGAGAAATCATAAGAGACTTATTAAGACTGAACTGTTTACATTCCTGCATGGAAAGATGATATTTATAACTCATGAGACCTTTGTCAGTATTAGGGTAGGTAGAGGGGAAAAATATGTATATGTATGTATAGATAGATAGATAGATAGATAGATAGACAGATAGATAGATAGATAGATAGATAGATAGATAGATAGATAGATAGATAGATAGATAGATAGATAGATAGAGGGCACAGGGTGAGTTGAAGATGAAGGGGTGATATCTGGAGAATAAAATTAAGGGTGAGAGAGGATTATAATAGGAGAAGGAGAAAGGGAGAGGTAGAATGGGGCACATTATCTTGCACAAAACAGACAAGAAAAGGTTCTACAGTGGAGGGGAAACAGGGGAAGGTGAGAGAAAATGAGGGAATCTTATTCTCATAGGATTTGGCTTAAGGAGGGAATAACATACACACTCAATTGGGTATGGAAATCTGTCTTACCCTACAGGAAAATAAGGGAGGAAGGGGACAAGAGAGCAGGTAGATGATAGAGAGAAGGGCATACTGGGAAAGGGGTAATCAGAAGGAAGTACTTCTGAAGAGGGACAGGGTCAAAAGAAAGAATAGAATAAGTGGGGGGGCAGGATAGGATTAAGGGAACTAGAGTTAGTTTTTCACAACATGTCTACTATGGAAGTGTTTTGCATAACTGCACATGTATGGCCTGTATTGACTTGCTTGCCTTTTCAATGAGGGTGGGTAGGGTGGGAGGAAGGGAGAAAATTTGGAACCCAAAGTTTTAAAAACACATGTTTAAAAAAAATGTTTTCACATGCAACTGGGAAATAAGAAATACAGGAAATGAGGTACAGAAATCTATCCTGCCCTACAGGAAAATAGAAGGGAAAGGGGATGGGGGGGGGAGATAGAAGGGAGGGCAGACTAGGGGAAGAGGTATTCAGAATGCATGCCATCTTGGATGGGGGGAGGGGTAAGATGGAGTGGAAAATTGGCATTAAAAATCTTGTGGAAGTAAATGTTGAAAACTAAAAATAAACAAATTTATATTAAAAAAAAATTTAAAAAATAGGGGTAACAATAGCATCTACCTCACAGTGATATGGTGAAAATCAAATGAGATAATAGTGCTTCTACACCTTAAAGTACCATATGAATGTTAGCTAATATTACCACCTTTTCCCTCTCTGGCCACATTAATCTCTCCTCCATACTCCCCTTCCCTTCTGGCTTCATAAAGGCACTGTCCTTAATCATAACCCGTGGCTTGCATATTCTTGCTACCTCTTCTAGCAATCACAAGGGTTCTTAGCTTTTTTTGTGTGTCATGGATCCCCAGGCAGTCTGATGAAGCCTATGGACTCCTCAGAGTAATATTTTTAAATGCACAAAATCAAATACATAGGGTTACAAAGGAAGCCAATTATATATTGAAATAGTTATAAAAATATTTTTAAAAGTTCATGGACCCCGGGTTAAGAACTCCCGGCTATTGTTTCCTCCTTTACTCTTTTCCTTCCTCCCTCTCTATTCTTTCATCCTTCCCACCCCCACTAGCCTATTCTGCTGCCCAAATTTTTGAACTTCAGGTATATTGTTAATGCTCCCACTTCTTGATCTACACCCACTTCCTTATGATTTGGTTTCTACCCCACTACTCTACTGAAATTGCTTTCTCCAGATCCACCTGTGACTTCTTGTCAATTCTGGTGGTCTTCTCTTAGTACTCACTTTTCCCGACATTTCATAAATATCATTGACCAACCACCCCTTTTTGAAAATCTCTCCTTCCTTGGTGCTTTTCCCCCTGCCGCCATGGCAGAAAAATTGACCTGAAAGAACATTGTTGTCCCTGGCTTAAGATTAAGTGAGGAGATCCAGGTTTCCCAGGGAGAGGAAAGAGAATACTGGAATTCTTGGTTCCCAATCCTGTTCTCTAGGTTAGAATTGATTATGTCTTATTTGCTGGAATCTCAGGAGTTTTTAAGAAGTTTTCTGCTTTATGAACTTAAAAAAGGGAGCCAGTAAAGGCTTTCCTAGAGGTCTAAAGATTTATCAGGGTATAGACAATACAAAGCCACTATTGAGTGCTTAGAAAAACTGAAAATTATTTCTTTAATCCTCAAAATCATATTCTAAATTCTCACAGAGCACAAGTCTCAGGTAGGCACTTTAAAAATATACTTTGTAATAGTAACTGGTTACCTGGGGCCACCCTACACTATTTACCCATTCAGGGTAACCCTCCATCTTCTATGGGAGAGGTGATGACACTAACATAATCCAATGATAAGAAGGAAAACATAGATCACTCATACATAATGAGGGCTTGCTTTTCATTTCCAAAGAAAGATAGCCTTATGTTTCTGAAGTGTATGCTTTTGTAGGAATAGAAAAGTGGAAACAAAGAAAATACTCACAGATTAGGGCAGAAGCTAAAAATTGTTGTACATGAATGTAATGGAATATGACTGCCCCATAAGAATGCAGAGAAGCATGAGAAGATAAAGGAACTTATACAAAGTGATGTAAACAGAACCAGGAGAACATTATACACAATTTTGTTTGTTGTTTAGTTGTTTTCAGTCATGCCAGACTCTTTGTAACCCCATTTGGGGTTTTCTTGGCAAAGATACAGGAGTGGTTTGCCATTTCCTTCTCTAGCTCATTTGATAGATGGGGAAACTGAGGCAAATAGGGTGACATGACTTGCTCAGAGTCACACAGCTAGTAAGTGTCGGAGGCCACATTTGAACTCAGGACAATGAGTTTTCCTGGCTCCAGGCCCAGTGCTCTGTGCACTATGGTACCACCAAGCTGCCCAATATAGACAATAGCTACAATGTAAATGGAGAGAATAATAAAAAGAATGTTATACACTTATAATAACTAAACTTCCCCATGAAGGAGAGATGTTAAAATGTCACTCTTTTTTTTTTCAAAGGTGGGGAACTATGAGAATGGAAACCTATACAAAAGGTACTTTCAATGTTAATTAGTTTTGTTTAACTGTTTTTCTCCCTCTTTTTTATTCTTTGTTACAAGAAGTGGTTCTCTTGTGGAGGGGAATGGGGACACAGAAGGGAAACACTAGGAAATGTAGGTGGTGTAAAAACAATATATCAATACAATTTTTAAAACAAAACTATTAATTATATGCATATATACATACATTAACATTTAAAATTATTCATCACAATTCAGTCTTCATTATGAACTTCACCTACCAAATTTGGTAGTAATATAGTAATGCTTTTAAGGCATCATTGGAGCCCTACTTAAGTATGCATGGCCATATGCCCCTTCACTAAATGGCCCCATACTTTCAGTGCTTTTATAGTTTATGACTGATCCTGCTGTTTCTACTCTGGGTAACATCTGTCACTTCTTGTGTATATATGTTTCTAGTAGCACTCCTTTACCTCACTCCCTGACACTTCTAACTTACTCCCCACTGTAATTTAGATAGGCATGAAGTTTATCTAAGGAAACTAAAGAATCAAACTTGTTAAACCACTAACTCTAATTTACATGAAATTTTACATTCATGGCTTTAACTGGAGAAAGACTCCAAGATTCATGCTGACAGCTGTTTTACTTATGCTCTGAGGCCCTTTCCTTTTACCGCTGGTTTTGTGGCTGTCTTCCAAATGGTTGAGTTTGCATGTTATGTTCAATTAGAAGGAAACGAAGAGCACCTTATGACAACTACAGGCTGAAATTCTTTTAAAAGTGTGAACATGTATAAATATGTAACTCTGATGATATATGAGCCAAGGAGATTAAGAATTAATTTTGAAAATTTAGGGAATGTTACAGAAACTGGAAACAAAGTAAATGCTCATAGATTGGGTAATCGTTAAACAAACTGTGGTACATGAATGTAATAGACTATTATTGTGCCATAAAAATTATAAATATGAAGAATACTGACAAACATGGAAGGATCTGCATGAACTGATGCAAAGAGAAAAAAAAAACTAGCTAAAAATCACTCTCCAAATAAATGGATATCAATAATTAGTAAAATGAACGGGTTTTTTAAATGCGGGAAATTCTTGTATACTGGAATATGGAATGTTAAGAAATAAATAAGGATAGATCAAATCACATTAGTACTTGAGGAAGCTCTTTTCTACTCTTTTTTTTTTTCAGGCAACTGGGGTTAAGTGACTTGCCCAGGGTCACACAGCTAGTGTCAAGTGTCTGAGACCATATTTGAACTCAGGTCCTCCTGACTTCAGGGCTGGTGCCCTATCCACTGTGCCACCTAGCTGCCCCAGGAGGCTCTTTCCAGTATTGTTCAGGCAGGTGAAGCACATTTCAATTCTACTGAAGTATCTGATGTCAGATCACATAAATGTTCTTAGAAAAATGAATGATAATTATCTGGATTAGGGTTCCAAGCCTGTTCTTAAGGCCTCTGAACAACAACAAAAAAAGATCACACAAAAAGATATTCTCTTAATGTATGGTATTCACTGGACTGCTGGTTTTAATTTCTGATTTGATCTCATTTATTATTTGCTACTAGTGAGTATGATAATGAGCCTTTCGGATAAGCCAGTTTAATAAACAATGATAATACTTCCTGAGGGTATAAAATTATTAGGACCAAAACCTTTGTGGGCAGAAAGAGATCTCTTATATACACAGAAATCTAGATTGAATCAGAACCAGAATATTCAGTTTTTAAGAGATCTCCGATAATATATAATCAACACCATCACCTCTCATTTTACAGATACAAAAATGGGAGCGTAGAGTTAGCAGAAGTGACTTCACAAACATCCCATCCCCTGCTAACAGCATAGCCACGACCAAATCCAGAGTTTTTGGCTCCCATTCCAGAGCTCTCTCTCTTATATCGTGATTATGCCTAATGTGGATTAAAGCTCCAACGTTTGGTATGGTTAAGTCTTGTGAAACAAAGGAGCTGACTGATATGCTCTGCTTGGCTTTACAGAACAGAACTAATATGAGAGTTTCAGGAAAATAGATTTTGACGAGAAAGAATAATCCAAAATAAAGAAAGAACATACTAAATATTAGAGCTATCCAACAATGGAACTGATTGTCTTGGGAGGCAATGATTTCCGTGTTACTAGAGGTCTTTAAATGGAGGATGAATATTTAGTTATTTTTTAAGGATACTACAAACTCCCAACTCTGAGATTCTATGTATACATTGGAATGTCAGTATCTAGCAGGTGACTCAGCTGCTTGGACATAAAATACGCTGAGTTTTTACAATGACAAGTAGAGCATCTCTAGAATTGACTAAATGCCTTCATTGGGTAAACTTACAAGCTCATAATATGAGACATTGGTAAAAATGGGTTGTTGTAAAAAAATGTCTTTACTGAAAATATCAAAGCACTTACTTAGATCAGTGGTAACTAGCTTGGTCAAGCATCCAATATAACCACCAATGTCTAACTCACCAGAAAGGAAGTGAAGAGTTTCATAAACTTACGGTTTCCACAGTTGAGTCCACCAAGACCAAATGGGCAACTACAAGTCAACAAAGAGAAATTTATTTAGATCTTGGATGTTCTGAAGAAACAAATTTAACAAAATTCAAGGAGAGTATTGAGCCTACCTCATGCAGGTTTCATTTTCAAGTCTATATCCATCTTCACATGCTGAAAAAGGAGGAAACAATCCATGAGCAGCTGGCCATCACCACTCTGGCCATAGTCCTCAGCCCTCTCCCATTAGAACCACCTGAATTCTGCAGTTGGGACCCTGGTAGGAAGCACTGATAGGGACACATGAGCATTATCATCTTCCCCAGGACCCAGTCATGATGCCAACTCTTAGCCATATCTATACCCCTTCTTTTCTAGCTGCCTTTTATCTGTTATCTTTTTCCCTTTAGAATATAATAAACTCTTTGAGAACAGAGACTATCTCCCTTATTCAAATAAGCACTTAGCATACTATTTGACACACAGTAAGAACTTTAAAAATGTTTTATTATTCATTCATTATTTGTCCAAACCAGAGCACAATTCAACTTTCTATGACTGAAGGGTTTTTTCCCCCTTTTTTTTCTCCTTTTTAGGCAATTGGGGTTAAGTGACTTGCCCAGGTTCACACAGCTAATAAGTATCAAGTGTTTGGTCTGAGGCCGGATTTGAACTCAGGTCCTCCTGACTTCAGGGCTGATGCTCTAACCACTGTGCCACCTAGCTGCCTCAATATCATAGACTCTTTGGGATCAAAAGGGTTTTGAGATGAACTTATTACTCTGACAACACAATGGTTCCCAACTGACTTGTAAAAACTTTTTCTTCTGAAAACTTTTTACTGCTATCTTTTATTTTGTTTTTATACAACTTTCATTTCCTTTTTTTCACTTCTAGATTTTTTTAATTTATAAAGCACTTTGCTGCCAGAGCACTTGGGACACTGTACATCATCAATAAAATAGTATTAACATAATAATAACAATAGTAATAAAATGGAAATGCTCTGATCTAAAGGTACCCACATAGGCAACTGGGGGGATCATCAAGAGAGGTGATTTTTTTAAATGACCATATAGTTGAAGAACAGATGGTAGCTTCTATTTTTTTGTCTTTTCATTTTTTTTCTTTTTGGTTCCAAATTCTCTCATTCCCTCTACCCCTTCCTCCACCCACTGAAAAGGCAAGAAATATAATACCCATTATACATATGAAGTCATATAGAACATCTTCTCATTAGTTATGTTTTTTTAAAGCAAGAAAAATAAAGTGGAAAAAATATGCTTCAATCTGTACTCAGAATTCACGCATTTTCTCTCTGGAGGTGGGTAGCATTTTTTCATTATGATTCCTTTGGAATTGTCATGGATCATTGTATTGATCAGAATAGCTAAGCTTTTATGGTTAATTATGGTTACAATGTTGCTGTTATTGTGTACAATGTGCTCCAGGTTCTGTTCATTTCACTTTGCATCTGCTCGTATAAGTCTTCCCAGGTTTTTCTGAAGCCAACCTCTTTATCATTTCTTATAGCACAATACTATTCCATCACAATTATATACCACAACTTGTTCAGCCATTCCCCAATTGATGGCCATCCCTCCAATTTTCAAGTCTTTTCCACTACCATATATGCTATATATATATTTTTTGTACAAATAGGGGTCCTTTTCCTTTTGATCTCTATGGGATACAGATCTAGTAGTGGTATTCCTGGTCAAAGTTTATGCACAGTTTTATACCTGTTTGGGCATAGTTCCAAACTGTTCTCCAGAATGGTTGGACTAGTTCACAATTCCACCAACGGTGTACCTATTTTTCCACATTTCCTTCAGCATTTGTCATCTCTGATAGGTGTAAGGTGATATTTCAGAGTTGTTCTAATTTGCATTTCTTTACTTATTAGTGATTTAGAGCATTTTTTCATATGGCTATTGGTAGCTCTGACTTCTTTGGAAAACTGCCTGTTCACATCCTTTTGACTATTTATCAATTGGAGAATGGCTATTATTTTTATAAATTTGGCTCAGTTCTCTATATATTTGAGAAATGGGACCCTTACTAGAACTTATTATGAAAAATTTCCCCTGGTTTCTAATTTTGGCTACATTGGTTTTGTTTGTGCAAAACCTTTTAAATTTTATGCAATCAAAATTATCCATTTTACCTCCTGTGATCCTCTCTATCTTTTCTTTGGTCACGAACTTTTCCCTTATCCATAGATCTGACTAGTAATTTTTTCTATGCTCCTCTAATTTGTTTATGATATCACCCTTTATCTCTAACTCACATACCTATTTTGACCTTATTTTGAATATTTAGTGTGAGATGTTGGTCTATGCTTAGTTTCTGCCAGACTGTTTTCCAGTTTTCCCAGTAGTTTTTGTCGAATAAGGAATTCTTATCCTAACAGTGGATCTGAGTTTATCAAACACTGTTACTTTGATTGTTTACTTCTGAATATTCTGTACATATTCTATTCCACTGATCAACAACTCTTTCTTATCTAGTACTAGATACTGTTGGTGATTACTTCTTTGTAGTATAGTTTGAGATCTGGTACTGCTAGGCTGGCTTCCTTCACTTTTTTTTCATTGATTCTCTTGATATTCTTGGCTTTTTGCTCCTCCAGATGAATGTTGTTATTATTTTTTCCTAGCTCTATAAAATAATTCTTTGGAAGTTTGATTGGTATGGCACTGAATAAGTGAATTAATTTAGGGAATATTATCATTTTTATTATATAGGTTCCACCTACCCATGAGCAATTAACATTTCTCTAATTGTTTAGATCTGTATTTGTGTGAAAAGGGTTTTGTAACACTTTTATTTTAAATAGTAAAATATTAACTTAATTTTATAATAAAAATATTTAATTTCACTCATAGTTACTTTAAATGAAATTTATCTCTTCCTGTTGGGTTTTGTCAATAATATATAGAAATGCTGATGATTCATGTGCCTTTATTTTATATTCTGCAACTTTGCTGAAGTTGTGTTTCACTAATGTTTTTTAGTTGATTTTTTCAGGTTCTCTAAGTACCACCATTATATCCAAATATAACCTTCCATTCCTAACCTTCCTACTCCTTGTAACAAAAAGAGAGAGAGAGAAGAAGAAGAAGAAGAAGAAGAAGAAGAAGAAGAAGAAGAAGAAGAAGAAGAAGAAGAAGGAGGAGGAGGAGGAGGAGGAGGAGAGGAGAGGAGGAGGAGGAGGAGAGGAGGAGGAGAAGAGAAGAAGAAGGAGAAGAAGAAGAAGAAGAAGAAGAAGAGAAGAAGAAGAAGAAGAAAAGAAGAAGAAGAGGAGGAAGGAGAGGAGGAGGAGGAGGAGGAGGAGAGGAGGAGGAGAGGAGAGGAGAGGAGAAGAAGAAGAAGAAGAAGAAGAAGAAGAAGAAGAAGAAGAAGAAGAAGAAGAAGAAGAAGAAGAAGAAGAAGAAAAAGACAATGGTAGAGAGAATTCTGGGAAGATGGCAGAGTAGGTCAGAAAATTTTTGGCTCTCCAATTTCCTCCACAAAAAAAGACAGAACATCAGAATGTAGAGCACAGGAAATAAACAAAAGTTGGAGTAGAGAAGTTTTCCTCTTAAGACAACTTGAGAAGACCCCAGGAAAGACTTGACCTCCAGGGTAGAGGTTTGGCCTTAGTGAAGTGCAAACACCTTAAGGCCAACTCAAGCCCTGGGGGCAGCTGGGTTGAGGGGCAATCTCAGCCTTAGAAACTTTCACCTCAAGGACAGTTGTGGGGGTTTAATGGCTGAGTTGGAGAAGATTGAAGGACCTTCCACTGTTGAGGATGCCAAACACAACTGTGCTAACCAGACACTTCCCAAGCTATAGCTGTGGGGAGAAGGAGCCAGCATACACCTGCAGTAGCAGAGGAGCAGGGACCTTGCTGGCTATGGGCACTTGCAGAAGAGCAAAGTCCCTGGTTTCAGTTCCAGAGCAAAGAGGACAGACGTAGTTTGCAGCCACCAGAGGGACCACAGGAAACAAGCAGGACAGAGTGGCTAGGGGTCCTAGTCGTGGCTTTGGAGTGGAGAAGAGAGCCCAAGGCCCTGGAGCTTGGGGCGTTATTCCCTATACCTGGAGAATAGAACTTGATTACACTAATAGCTGCTAAAAACAAAATAAAACCAAAAAAAGGTAAAAATGAGTAAGCAAAGGAGAAAGAACCCAACCATAGATAGCTACTATGGGGATGGAGAAGATCTGGGTTCATATTCAGAAGAAGATAATGGAGCAGAAAAAAAGCCACTCCTTTTTCAGTGAGAAACATCAAATGATCCCAAGCACAAAAAGAGTTCTTGGAAGAACTTAAAAAGGACTTTAAAAATCAAACAATCGAGATCAAGGAAAAATCAGAAAACAAAACAAGAGCAATCCAAGAAAATTAAAAAAACTGTGAAAAGAAAGTCAACCAACTTGAAATAGAGAATCAAAAACCTAAGGAAGAAAACAATTCCTTGAAAATTTGAAAAAAGAGGAAGCTAATGACATTCTAAGATACCAAGAAATAACAAAACAAAATCAAAAGAATGAAAAAATATAAGTGAATGTTTCATCTCATCAGAAAAACAACTGATCTGGGGAACAGATCAAGGAGAAATAATACAAGAATAGTTGGACTATCAGAAAATTGTGATAAACAAAGAATCTTGATACAATATTACAAGAAATTATCAAGGAAAATTGCCCTGAAGTTCTAGAATAAGAAGGCCAAGCAGAAATAGAAAAAATTCATTGATCACCACCTGAAAGAGATCCCGGGGGAATACTTACAGGAATATCATAGCTAAGTTTCAAAGCTCCCAGGCTAAGAAGAAAATATTGGAAGTGACAAGAAAAAAACAATTTAAATATCATGGAGCTAGGACATTTAATGGTCTGAAAGACTTTCAGGTATTTGTTACAAAAAACAGTAGAACAGGGAAATTCGACATATAATATCCAGGAGAAATATAAGGCAAACATTAAGGACCAATTATAAGGGACTCAATAAGGTCATATTGTTTACTTCTCACATGTGAAAATATTATCAGTACTCTTATGACCATCATTTGGGTAGTCTGAAATAAAGACTTGGGCTGAGTGATTCTAAAAAAAATAAAACTGTAGTAGGGGGAGGGAGGGTAGAACTGGAACCTTACTCTCATTGGGAATAGGTTAAAGAGGAA